TTTTTGGTGATGTTCATAAATCACACACTCACACAAGCCAAATTCTCAGCCACTCTGGCCACAGATGTTGGCACCACCACCGCCGCCACCGAAATTGCGTGTGAGACCAGAAAAAAGTGCACTAAGAAGGCTGTGCAGTTTGTCTGGTGTCTGACCAAACATGCAACTGCTGCAGTGGGGAGACAGTATGCGATTTGTCATTGAAAAAAGTTTTAATTTTTCATTTCCTGCAAAAAGAGCAAACTTTTTGTTGTTTTCAACTTTATGGAGCCATTTCTTTCAATTAGTTAGGTGTTTGTTTTGTTTGCCTTTTCCACCAGACCAAATAGCCAAAACCAATTGCTTTGCAATATTTATATTTATATCTGCCTGATGAGTGATTATATTCAGTCTATAGTATCCGGCAGTTCCTATTAGCCTGCTTACACACACATTCACCAAGCTACAATTTGAAAAGCGCCTTCTCGGCGTTTTCGTAAATGTTTCTCTGAGGGCACATTTTCAGCCGATNTGCCTCTTCCACCAGACCAAATAGCCAAAACCAATTGCTTTGCAATATTTATATTTATATCTGCCTGANCCTTTTCCACCAGACCAAATAGCCAAAACCAATTGCTTTGCAATATTTATATTTATATCTGCCTGATGAGTGATTATATTCAGTCTATAGTATCCGGCAGTTCCTATTAGCCTGCTTACACACACATTCACCAAGCTACAATTTGAAAAGCGCCTTCTCGGCGTTTTCGTAAATGTTTCTCTGAGGGCACATTTTCAGCCGATTTTATGGGTTGCCGAAAAAAGTAGTGCCAAAATGAGAAAGTGCTTGCGTGTGGTGTCCATTGAAGTTTCAACACCGACTATTGATGCACTTTTATGGCACTATACTTTTTGATACTGCCATTTGTCCCCATTAATGATCTGACTAACCATTTTTTTACTATTTTTTTCTTCCGCCATCACCATCACAGTACACCAGTTCTTTCCCCTGGTAGAAATCAGCTGTTCTGATGATCTGCGCTTCTTCCTCTGCTCCCTCTACACGCCCATCTGCATGGAGGATTACGCCGGCAGTGTGCCAGCCTGTCGGTCTGTTTGCGAGCGAGCCGTAAGTGATTTTCTACTATTTTAATAAAAGAACACAATAATTAAAACAGCATTTCATCTGACAGAAACAAGGTTGTGAACCGTTGATGATTCAGTACGGCTTCTCCTGGCCAGAGCACATGGACTGCACCAAGTTTCCGCCCTACGGCGATCCACAGACAGTGTGCATGGACGCACGGATGAGTATGCCTGCCGTCAAATTGGTATTCATAAATAGTTTTTTACTTAATTTCATTCTTATTGCAGCAAACGGCGGCAATCATTCGTCCTCGCCGTCAGCGCCGGCAGTCGGCAGTTCTGTTGACCACGAAGTGGACGAAAAGTTCCGAAACAGAGGCGGTCTCTCGCGGAAGAAGAGTCACCCACAGACGCACTACACCACCGAACCATACGGCTCAGCGTATCCGGATGCTTCGGCGGGAAGTGGTGGTGCTGGCAGTCGACCTTCAAACAGCCATCACCACCCTCTGAAGCCCCCGACTCCACTGGACAGTCTTGACCACGACCACCAGCAAATTCCCCCCTTAACAGTCTCTGCAAATGGCTGCCGATGTGACTGTCGGGAGCCATTTTTCGTCCGCATTCGCAGTGACCACCACCACCATCATCACCTAAACGGTGGGGCACCGTATGATCAGCAGCAGCAGTTGGCCACTTCTGCTGCTTCTCAGCTTTCCACTGCCATCTACTCTGCCAGCTACTTCAACCACTCTCGCATTGAGACGGCCGGCGGCCTGGCACCGTCCTGCGCCGCCGCCTGCAATCGCGGCCCGTACAACTTTGCCGAGGCGGATCGCGAGAACGGTATCTGGTGGCTGAACGTGACCGCCATAGTCACCGTGATCACCTGTTCGCTGACCTTTCTCACCTATCTGATTGACTCTCAGCGCTTCCGCTACCCTGAGCGGGCCATAATCTTTCTGGCGGCTTGTTACGTGTGCATCGCCAGCGGGTACCTGCTGCGAATGCGTCTCGGCCACTCTGCCATCGCCTGCGACGGCCCGGTCATTCGTTACCAGCGGACCGGACCGACGCCGGCCAGCTGTCTGGTCAGCTTCATTCTGCTGTACTTCTTCGGCATGGCCTCCGCCTACTGGTGGCTCATCCTCACGCTCACCTGGTTCCTGGCGGCCGGTCTGAAGTGGGGCAGCGAGGCGATCACCGGCTACGCGCAGTACTTTCACCTGCTCGCCTGGCTCCTGCCCACCGGCCAGACGGTGGTCATCCTCTGTCTGGGCGCCATCGACGGCGACCCCTTTGCGGGCGTCTGCTCGGTGGGCAACCAGAGCCGCGCCAATCTGCTGCTCTTTGTGATCACGCCCCTCGTGGTGACCATCGCCATTGGCTCGCTCTTCCTCGTCGCCGGCTTTGTCGCCCTCTTTCGCATCCGCCGGGCGATTCGCCAGCGCGTCGAGGCGATTCGCATCAAAACGGACACCCTGGAGAAGCTGATGGTCAAGATTGGCCTCTCCTCTTTCTTCTACATTGTCCCAGAGGGCGTCGTCCTGGCTGTTCACATCTACGAGTACCTCTACCGCCCCAGTTGGGAGCAGTCGCTGACGTGCATTTGCGGCGACCAGACCGAGCAGACGCAAATTAGCACCTCTAGCCAGGCCAGTCTCTCGCTGATTCTCCTCAAGTACATCATGAGCCTCGTCATTGGCATTACCTCGGGTTTTTGGATCTGGTCTGGCAAAACGCTGGACTCGTGGCTGGCTTTCTACTCGCGGTTTGCCTGCTGCGGCAGCGCCTTTCGAGGCTCACCCGCCAGCTCGCGGTCGGGGGCGACGCAGCTGCTGCCCAATATGAATGGCTACTATACAGGAGGAGGCGGCAATGGCGGGGGTGGACTTCAACACGGCCCCAGAGGACCAATGATGGGCTTTGTAGGAGGGGGAGGTGGTGGTGGCAGTGCACTGCCCATGAAATCGCCCAATCTCAACCAACTGGGCGGCTCAATGAACGGCAGCAACTCACTGAACTCAACCCCGCAGCACCTGCTGGCCGCACACCATCACCACCAGCAACAACAACTTCTTCATCACGCTCACCTTGGCCACCACCACCCTCACCCACTCGGACTGGAGTTGCAGTCGCGACAGACTTCGCTCATTCATCCCTCAATGCCACCGACGCTGCCACCACCTCCGCCGCCGGCGTTGATGGCCGCCCTGGCCAACAGCAGCCATCACGGAGGCAGTCTGACCGGCTCCCAATTCACCCATCTCATTGGCTCAATCAACGGCGGCAATGGCAACTCCAAGGTGCCTCTGTCACATGTGTAACACAGGCAACTGCAGATTGCCCCCCAACTCGAATCTGGTCAGCGAATCAGAAATGACCATTTCTGAGCGCGTTCATTCATATCGCTTCACTTGTACAGTAAACTCATTTCTCATTTGGCACCTCCACATCTTCATCAATGTACAAATCATCTGCAGACCCCTTACATTCTGGTCATATTCTTGCGCGCTTTTCTTTCCACAACTATTTCTTTTTCTGTTTCGGTGTCCCAACAACCAGCTCTTTTTCCTTTTTTTTCACCCCCAGGGCCACCAGATGTGATCACCTTTTCTGTCTCTTTCTCTCTCTCTCTCTCTCTCTCTCTTTCTCCCACTTAGTCTTGTTGACTGTCTGTTTTTGTGGCGTCAACTTGCAAGCCAACACAGGGTACCAAATATTACAGATAGACGATCTCTTTCAAATCAAACCATCAACATACCAACGATGACATTTTTTTGTCATTCACTAGAATTTTTACGTTTTATTTTGTACATTTTTAACGAAACAACTTTTACTTTTTCACTTTGTTACATTCTTTTTCGTTCCTTCATTTCTCTTCCGTTTTATTGTCCGCCTCTCCAAAGTCATATCAATCAATAAAACACAAAATTATTTACGAACAAAGGCTAAAAAATAGAACTAAAGAAACAAGATTTTAAAATTGCGTAAAATGACGCATCCCAAGCAGCTTTTAGACATTTGCAGACACGTCAGCAAACTGAGCACAACGCCACAATCTCAATTGATTTTCTGATTTTACCTTCTCCTTTACTTGACAGCAGCAACTACCATCCTTTAGCATGGCAAAAGGTAAGAAGGAAAAGGCTAGTAGCAAGGAAAAGTCAAAGAAGGATGCCTCTGCAAGCAGTTCCAAGTCGGCCGCCAAAGAAGCCTCCAAGTCGGAGCCGGCCAAGTCGCACAAGGACGAGCACAGCAAGGGACCAGCCACAAAAGAGGCCTCCTCGAAAAAGGCACCACCGTCAGCACCACCACCAGCGCCCAAATCCCCGCCCGCCTCAGCTGGCATGAGACACCCCTCCTGTGGCAAGCTACAAGACCCAAAGGCCATCCAGGAGCATCCCATCTCCGACGAGGAGCGGGCTCGCAAGATCGAGAAGAACCACCAGGCAATTGAGGGCATCGTGGAGATGCTGCACATCATTCCGCCGGACAACATCAGCAATGCCACTCGCGAGGATCTGATCAAGATTCGCGACCTGGCCAAGGGCATCGTCATGCGCTACCAGCCAGTGGGCAGTGGCGGCGGTGGAGAGGGCAAAAAAGGAGGAGGTGGTGGTGGTGGGGGAGGTGCCGGTAGTGGTGCATCCAAAGGAGGCGGCGGCGGTGGTGGCAGCGTCGGCGGAGGCGGTGCCGGCGCCTCTTCCGCCGACTTCAAGTTGGACGCTGTCATGCCTGCCTTTGCTGACATCTTCTCCACCGACATGTGAAGCATGTCCGACCATCAGCAACAGGCCAAGCATCTTTATTCTTGCTCTTCTTCACCTTCGCTGCCGATTGCTTTTTAATTATGCTAAATATTTGTTCTAAAATGCATTTAGCAGGCACTTGTATTCGATTGTTTTAGTTTTAGTTTTATTGTTATTAACAATGTATATTTAAAAACTGTAAATGCGCTTGCTTTTCTTGTTTTCGTCAGACATTTGCTCTACATTCAATCATTTACTTTCATTTACTGAATCACCATGCCTCCAAAAACTGCTCCAAAAAAAGCTGCTCCAAAGACAGCTCCAAAAACGGCTCCAAAGACGGCGCCAAAGTCGGCTCCAAAGGCAAAGTCTAAGCCCAAGTCAAAGCCGGCTAAAAAGGGCGGCCCCAGAGAGAAGCTCAAATCCAAGTACAAGAGAAAAGAGCGTAAAAAGCCTTCTTCCAAAGACAAAAAAGATGCCAAAAAGGCAGCAAAGTCAAGACCAAAGTCAAAGGTGGCACCCTCAACGTCAAAAGCATCCGACTCAACTAGCAAGGGGGACAGTTCGGGGAAAGATTCTGCTACCACAGCTACTGTGCCTGCCTGTCCTTCCAACAAAACCGAATTCCCAATGGAGAACTGTCCCAATCCTGAGGACCTAAAGCCCACCGACATTACCAGACTGTACAAGATTCCGAATAATCAGTTCAAAACAGAAGGCGATGTCATCGCTCAGAATGGATACATGCTAGAGGAAAAAGTACGAGAAAAGTTTTTAAAAAGTTTTTCTTGGTTAACCACAAAACCTCTATTACAGCTAGACGAGGGCGGCTTTGGGGTGATCTTCTTTGCGAGGAACAAAAAGACAAACACTCGAGTTGCCTGCAAGATGATGGAACTAGGCTCCGACTGGGACGACGAGCGAGTGGCCGACATGAAAAATGTAAGTACTCTTTGGGTTCACAAAAAGAAATCTAAATTCTCCTTTTTCCGTAGGAACTGTTCATCATGGAGAAGGTGAAGCACCTGTACGTCGTTCAGCTGCACATTCACTTTATCACACAGTCCAAGGCGGGCAATCGCATTTTCATCTTTATGCAGCTGGCAGACGGCGGCAACTGTGCCAAGTTTTGCCAGAAGAAGGGCGCCATGACCGAGGAGGAGTGTAAGCTGTACCTGGCGCAGATGCTCTGCGGCATAAACTACATGCACTCGCTTGGCATTGCTCATCGGGACATTAAACTGCAGGTTCGTCATTAAAAAATTTCCTCGTTTTCTTCAGTTTTTCTAAATCATCTCATTAAGCAGAATATACTTTTAGTCTCTGACAAAAACTCCATCACGGGCGACTACACTCTGCTGGTGGCAGACTTTGGTCTCAGTCGATGTCTTCGGCACGATCGAGGCGGTAATGTGGCGCTGAATCGAACGATATGTGGCACTCCCGTCTTCATGAGTCCCGAACTTCTGCTGAAGAAGGTAAGGTGTCAAGTTGCCAAAAAGATATCTTAAACTCTTGAAACTTTTCTTGTTCTTTTCAGCCATATAATGCATTTCAAGTTGACATGTGGGCCGTAGGCATTACACTGTTCATCATGCTTTCGCTGGAGCTGCCGTTTGACTTTCGCGACGAAGACGCCGTCGTGAAAGAGATGGTCATCCGAAATTGGCACTGGCCCGAGGAGAAGATGAAGGCAAAGCCATCCGAGGAGCTGAACGGTCTGATGAAGAAGCTTCTCGAGCCGGAGCCGATGACTCGAATCACAATGGCGGACATGTTGGTCCATCCGTGGGTGGCCAGTGGCTACCAACGAGCACAGGCACTAGCTAACAAGAACAACAAAAAGTAGAAGCAGGAGGAAGAGGAGGAGGCAACAGTTGAACTGACTACACAGCAAATCAATGATTTGATCTAAGGATATTAAAGTTATTTTTGTAAAAAAAGTGTTTTCAGGTTTGCAGAGTGGCAAAAAGTGGCGCTGTTTTGATAAAAACACTGAAATGGGTATATCGACATGCTTGGTTTGTGATTACGAGAATTTAAATGACTGCAAAATAGCGTTCTAGGAAAGATAAGTTTATCAAAAATAAAACCGTTTCTTTCATTCCGATAAAACATTTCATTTTGCTAGGCACTATTTTCAGTTGAACTACTGGTGGTAAAGGCACTATCTTCTTCTTTATCCTCTTCCTCTTCCGGGCCAAAGTAATGGTAGTGGCGGACAAACCAGAGCGCCTCCGAGAGGATGGCAAAGTCATCGATGACAACGTTGAGGTTCTTGTAGGTGGTCATCAGCGAAGAGCGCAAACTAATGGAACGCCCATCAGTGTCGTAGTACACCGGCACGTGGTACACCTTCCCAATCTCGATGATCTTCTTGCGCATAGAGCGCAGCACTGAAAAAGAATCGTAAATGAGCAGGGAGCACTTGTCTACGGCTTCTTCCTACGATGGTGTACAATGAAGAAATGATGAGACATTCTGCAAAGAGGACCGAACCTCGCCGAAAACCTACCCGAAAGTTGGTGCCATCAGGCTCCATATCGCGCACCTTGCCGATCATCTCCTGAATGTCATCGAGCATGCCACTGTGTCGGTCCATTTGCTTTTCTGCACAGTAGATCACCTCAAGAATGAGTTCACATAGGCGTGACTCCTGATTCAGATCGTCCACTCGAGCCTGCACATCCTCAAACACCTCACTCCCGAGGAAGGTTTTCAGGTAGTCGACGAGGTCGCTTTCTACTTTGTCATAGGAGATCTGTGTCGCAGGAGAAAGAGAAAGAGAACAATTCACATCCAAGCCTTCTCTTCTCTTACCTGACTGTGCTTGACAAACTTCAGTTTGTAGCGGGCATCACTGGACATGCCCTCTCGCTGACGACACAGGTCCTCGAGGATGCTCGGAAACATAGTCAGCGCATCAATCTGACGGTTACTTGGAGTGATGCTGGAAGACATGCTGTTAGAAGATTACTAAATGATTACTAGGTGTTGATTTTGAATGACACAAAACAGTCGATTTTTAAAGAATGATCACAACTATATCGAACTCGAATGTCAAAAACTCCATAACTCGCAGGTAATCGTCATACAGCTCATTTTGTAAACTGTTTTTAAACACCCCTCCTTTTTTGTTTATCAATAGAATAAAGAATGTGGTGGCAAAGTCAAGAAGACCAAAATTCAAAACCAGTCACAAATTGTTCAAGCAAAGCGTCCAACCTAGTAGATGGCGCTAGCGTGTCTATGAAAAGAATAAAGAGTGAAAACAAAATCGCCCCAAAATTTCAGCATACTCAAAAATTATTAAGTTTTATATCGCTGGAAAGCTAAAATTGCCCTGATTACAAAAATGTAAGTGTTTAAGTGGAGCCCCAAATGGTTCCTGAGAAAATCGGGTCCGAACTGTACCTTTGGCAATGTTTTACCTACTGCTGCTTATGCCATCTAGCGGAGTGAAGCCGTTGTGTTATTTCCAAACTGCATATTTTGGTCAACTTTGGGCCCGATTTTCTCGGGAACAGTTTTGGGCTCCATTTAGATATCTACATATTTGTAATCAGGGCAACTTTAGCTTTTCAACAATGTGTAATTCAATAATTTTTGAGTATGCTGAAATTTTGAGGCGATTGTTTATGAGTATTTGTTTTCACTCTTTCTGAAATTCAAATATTTCACCGATTTGACGGCGCGATAGTACAATCTTTTGTTTAGACNGGGCGATTGTTTATGAGTATTTGTTTTCACTCTTTCTGAAATTCAAATATTTGGGACTGATGAACGAGTGTTACACCCGTTAAAATAGGCAACGCTAAACAGTAAGCGGCGGCAGTCTGCAAGTGTTCTCTAGTGCGTTTCATCAACGCACATAAGAGGGCACATCAAAACAAACTAGCACCCTGGGGCAATTTGGGTGGTAGAATGTACAGGGCAAAGAAAACCAGCCTCTTTGGAGGTGGTTCCGAACCGAAAGGCCAAAACGATGATCGAAGTATTAAAGGCAGTGGCCGTCGGAGTTTATTCTGAGCCCTAAACCGCCCTAAGCGGCGCGGCCCCCGCCGCGCCGGCTTATCTTAAAAAAATCTACTTGTTTATACCGGACCGTGAGCGGTCGTTCCGAGGTACTCCGAACGGCCCGCCCGCCCTACCCTACCCTACCCTAACCTCAACTAACCTAAACTAAACCTAAACATTGCAATTTGCAAATCTTAAACGCGCTTACGCAATGCAAAACATGTGAACCAGCGCTGTCAAAATAGTCGGCTGTAACACTCGTTCATCAGCCCCAAATATTTCACCGATTTGACGGCGCGATAGTACAATCTTTTGTTTAGACTTTCAATCGGCATTTCTCTTTCATCTACCCAAAACTGACATTTCTGTGCCATCTTCATTTGAAGCTAACTTTGCCTAGTGCCTTTGAAGTCTGCAAAAGGACAGACACTCTTCACTTTTCACCATAAGGCATCCACCACCAAAACGGTAAGTCTTTTTGGTTGTCTTTCTTCCCTTCTTTATTTTAATTGAGAGTCAATGAAAGGAGTTTCTACAAACACACCAAACTGTTTTTCTTATTTTTTGAAAAACCCACACACACAGTTTGTTTCTTCCGAGTTAAATACATCGGCATTGTTTACGTTGCAACAGCGAGCATCTTCATCCGATGACTGCTGTTTTACTGTCTTCATTTAAACCGTTTTACGGGCGAGTAAATATGTTTTACATTATTTATTAGCAAAGCCAACCACGTTAGACTCAGACGAACACTCTCACTCACACAGACACAAGCTACATTGGCAAACTGTCTGGTTGCTGCTGTTGCCCCAGCTATACTTTGTTGCCACCACCGATTCGATGGAGGGATGGGGGGATTATTTTTAGAGAGTGAAAAGAACAAGGGAAAAGCAGATGGAAATTACTCGACGCTCCACTGTTTCGATTTCAGTTTTCCGTTACTGTGTGTGTGCTAGTGGTGCAGCTCCCGTTTGAAGCATGAGGATAACCGGCAAATAGGGAAATACGATTAGGCAAATCGACTTACTCCCTCCTTTTCTCTTCTTTTTCTGCAACTTTGACTTGCAGTGTCCGCTCCCCAGTGGACCGGTAGTAATCGTATTGCCGAGAACAACATCCTCTCAATGTCCACTGGAAAATGTACATTTTATTATATTTTTCTCCTGGATTCAGGGCAATTTCTTTGATGTTGTGCGTATTATCTGGCCCTGCCAGAGGAGTCTACTACCACTTCCCTACTCTTCTGAGTTTGAGTCCTTCAATCAGCAGTGTTACACTTTCCCTCTTTCTTTTTTCCGTTCTCATTCGATCAAGTGTGCTTGATCGTCTGCACTGATTTTTCCTCTCTCCCACCATACTTCACACATATTGCGCCCAGTGATTGGGGGCGAACCACACACACACACACACACACACACACACACACACACACA